CTGAGGCTAGGGAGTCACTGGATTTTGTGGATCAAAGCTTGGCAACCTCCCCGGAGCCTGTGACCTAGTAGCATTCCTTCTGAGCTCACTTTTTGGGCACCCTCAGGTCTGCCCCTTAAGAGGTGTTGTATGTCCTGCTGCCTGTTGTATTTCATGCCAGGTTCCTAGCAGAATTGGGCAGAACAAACCCTTTCTCATCTCTGACAGTCGTGATCTCTACAGAATTTGACCTTGGTTGGAGTAGGCAATGTTAAGCTGGCTGCTGTGTTCTGAAACCAGGCTTGGTGGAATTATATGTTTATTAAATAGTTTCAAATATACAGATTCATACTCAGAGAGGAATATATAGAGACTCATATTTCCTCATGGTTAATTGTATATTGCCATGGCTATATTTGATCAACACTGTTTTATGTGCATGTGAAATTTTGTTAGCCTTCGCTGGCTGAGAGTGGGCTCAGAGAGAGATGGGCCCAAGGAGGAGGCCCTCTGTGCATCTCTGCTGAAAATATGTGTTCTGGAATCGGAGTATGTGGCTTCCAAAAATCCAAAGAAGCCACAAGGGTTTTGTCCTGTTGCTTTTGCTATCCAAGCCTCTGGCCTGAGAAATACTACACCCTTCTGCTGTCTTTCTTCATCTCCCTAAGAAGTCTGCCAACTCACAGGCTGTCTTCCAAGGAGAACCCAGTCATCTTGAAAGTGAAGTCTTTGGGCTCTTTCATAGTTGTTGTGAGCCTGTGAGCAATTCTGAGCCACCAGGACTGGGCCCTGGAGACTAGAAGCCTCCATGGGAGGATGGCAAAAGGGATTGTAGTAGCAATGATTTCTGGGCAGGGGTCTGGGTGGCTGCAGTCCAAGGCACTTGAAGGGGCTTGTGAAGAAGTCAAACCTGGAGGGACAAGGATACTTGTGACTAGCTCTCCTTCCCTTTGCCTCCCTGGCTCATTACCTCACCCTGGATTTGACTGTCTGAAGGGCTTATTAGTTCTGGAAGGCCCTAGATCTGGAGTCTGATGGGGGTACATTTTAATCTTGTCAGTGACCTGAACCAGAGTGAGACTCACCAGTAGAGAAGGCTGGAGGAGGCCCCTCTAGAATACAAGCCAGGCCCTTTGGCCTGTGGGCCTGGAGCCCTGAGTATGGGCCACTGTTGGGGATTAATTGGCTTCCTTTTGCAACTTTTCCAGGGCCACGAAAAGACAGAGCTGAGAGGAAATATAAATGTCAGTGGACAGCCCTGTAACTTGAGGACAGAAGCGGGCTGGATGGGGTTTTTGTGGCACTCCCAAGGCACTCAGGTTCCTCTCAAGAATCTCGTGCCCAGACTTGTGGCACCAGGAGGTTCCCAGCCTTTCTTCCTTGTTTCTTCCTCAGTAACAGAGGGTGACCTCAGGCCTTGCTGCCCTGGCTACACTGACTTGGGGTGACATGACCCCAGGATCATGCCCCTTAAGTAGCCCACCGGCCTCGCCTGTGCTGCCAGACGTCCGTTTATTGTGTCTGTGCCTTGTTTACTTGTTTTGTCTGCTGCCACCCTGCGTCAGAAACCCGCCAAACCGGCAAATTCGCCCTGAGAACAAAGTGCAGGGCTCTTTCTAACTCCCTCCCCCTTTCACACCCCTTCCTCCAGCCCTGTGCGTCCCCTCATTTTCCCTTTCCAAAGGGAGGAAGCAGGGATTGTCCTAAAATAGGGCCGATGTTTATGGGACAGGGGAATTATGGAGACACCATAAACCTCCGGGTGTCCTGGTGTTGGATAGATTTCCAAACCTCCCTTCTCTTTCCTACAGCGTTTCTTCCTTTACCTTGGTAACTGGTTGGGTAAGGGGGCCACAGACTCTGAGACTATTTCGGGCCCCTGTCCTCCTCTTCCATTGCTTTCTTCTGTAGCTTCTCTCAGACATAGATGGCTGGGTTTCCAGTCAGGGTAATGTTGGTAGATTCATAAAACTAGATAAAGCATGTCGCCTCTCCCCCTTCCCCCAGCCCCCCAAAATATTAGTGAACTTAGGCAAATCCTACACAATTAAATTGTCCCTTCTGTGAGGGTCCTATAAATCCCCAATCCTGCCAGGTGTAGAGTCAAAGAGGTCGATGTTTGCCTATATTTTGCTCCTGGCTATCAAATCTGAAAGAGTATCATTACAGTAAGTAATATTTCTGAAATTAATTCCCCTCTCCCCATCCCTTTCCCTCTTTTACCAGTGTGAATTAAATGGCTCTTTCAGATCTGCTGACAATAAAGGATAAACTTGTTTGTGGAGAAATGACGATGATGTTTCATTGTTGGCTTATTGTTGTAGAACATAGTAACATTTTATTTCCAAGTGGGAGAAGTTAGGCCAGGAGAAGAAAGCGGGGTGAGAGGAGGCTTGGTATTCATATATACAACTCTTGCCATACTTTTATGACTTCCACAATTTCCATATGACAACTCACTGTGATATCATAAATGCCAAGTTCTCCAATTTTAAATTCTCATTATCCTCCAAAATGTTCCCAAGTAATGGTCTACGTTCAGAAGCTGAGGAGAAGCCAGAGAGCTGGGGGCTCCTTTGGACTAGCACAGAACAGCACATTCCTTCTTGTTCTCCTTCCTCACCTGACAGTCTCTGGAGGCTCTATTTGGGCAGTGCAAAGTACTCTAAATATTCTGGGTCTTGATTTTTATTTCCAGGCCAAATAGGGCTACCTGCTTTGTCCTCCTGAAGTATCCCAAGTCAATTGAACTCTCCATTCTCAGTAGGGATGAGATGCTCTCCACAAGCCCCCTCCTCAGCTGATATTTCTGCTACTTTGGTATCAAGGTGGAAGGTTTGAGGGCCTGGCCTCCAAAAACCAGAAATTATTTTTTCCAGATGAAGCCTGAAGAGGGTCTCAGGGCAAAGTGTGATGGGATCTATTTTACTTTTGAAGCTAAGTCCAAGTTGGAGAAGCCAGACATGCAAAAGTGGGCGTTTGTGTCTGCTGATGGTAGTAGCAGTAACTGAAGTGTAAGTTAGGAGAGGTCAGGCAGAGATTCACAAAAACATAGGAAGGAGAGAAAACATGCCATCAATTAGCAGAGTCGCTCTGTAGACCTTTTTCCAATGCTGAATTGCAGTAAAGACACATCAGCTCCAGCAGACTCAGAGCCTCTTCTTAGCTCAAAAGAAGGAATCACAGCACAGGCCTGAGAGCTGTTTGGGCCAGTTCTCAGCAAATGAACATACCCCTTCTGGTCCTGTTCTCCTTCCTTACGACACCCCAACTCCCTTCAGCTGGTCAGCCTAAGCCTTGTCACAAAATATCAAGTACCCACAAATCGGATTTATTTTCCGGTTGGGTATGTCAAATTTCACTTTTCTCCCAGTGTGTCTAAGCTTGACTTTCGAAAGCAGCCTTCTTTTTTTGGAATGCACTGTATGTACGGAGGGAAGGTGTATATGTTAGGAAATCTTTTCCTTCCGTGTCGAGGGAAAACTGGGAGCCCCTTGGGTGAGCCATGCTTTGGCATTCCCAAGCAGACCAGACTTTGCAGTTCAGGTTCTTTGGCGGCCTGCACCGCTGTTTTTGCAGTTCTTTTCCTCCGAGGTCCACAGAGATCAAAGGGACTTGTTCACAAAAACACCAGACATTCAGAATAGGGCTTTTTTTCAAATGTTTTTTTTTTTTTTTTAATTTAGCTATAAGCCGGTAGAACTAGGTGAACTCTAGAACAGCAAAGCCTTAACCAAATAGTGCAATTGTGAGGTGAGCTGAATAATTATTGAACTCAGCTTTCTCTGCAAGAGGGATTTCAGCTCGCGCCCAGTGGCACAAAAGGGGCGGACGGGGTAACAGTTCTGTGTCGCTGGAAATCAAGAACGGGAGGTGGTGAAGCGGCAGAGTCCTGCAGCTGCGGTGTCTTTTAGGCTTCCAAGAACGCAGGCAGGCAAGGGAGCTTGGAATCCCACGGGCTCCGGCTCCGGCTCCATCGTTGGAGTGAGCTGTAGTTAGCCTCGGCGGCCAGGAATGGAGTACGTGCGTCAGTCAGTGCTGGAGTCAGTTACAAACATCTTCGCAGAGGTGGGGGGGATCTAGAGAGAGAGGAGTCCTGCAGAACACAAAGGAGGACATTCCCCGAAGAATATCCCCGAATAAAAATTCCAGATCTCACCGGGCTCATTTCAAATGTCTGTAGGCACAAAATTACTTTATTTGCCAGATCAGAGAAGAAAGCAAAGGCAGGCAAGGTAAGGCCCGCCCATGACATCATCCTAGAAGCTGGAGTCCAGTCGCCCCTTTTTTTCTTCCAGTTCAGAGCCATAAGGACTCCCTAGCCTTCCCCTGGCCTTAGATTCGGCAAGACTGAAATCCGGAGAAACCCCTAAGTGCCCAAGCTCCAGTGCAGCCCTTAGCCTCCAGGCCAGTGCTACATCCACTCAGGCCCAAGAAGCAGGCAGTAAATTCCTCTCCTATAATTAGTGCTCCTGGAAGGCATGTGTTTTGGATGAGGCAGGGGTGCAACTGGAGTGGCCAGTGGCAACTTTTCCCCCTTTATTCCTTTTTCTGAGATTTTTTATATTGTTTTTGAATCCAGTAATTACAGCTCCCAAAACAAAAATCTGCTCTTGACACCTAGTCTCCTCTCAATGCCTAATTCAGAAGGCTGAAAGCCCAAGGCACAGCCTAGACCAGGGCGGGCCTGACTGGGGGCTTCTCTGATTTCTCTAGGCTTGTTTTGATGGAAACAAAGAACTGGAGCCTCCCTCCTTCCCAAGACTTGTGCATATTTACAGAGCTGCATTGCAGTTTTAATAAAACATCTGTTCTTGCTTCTGCTGATGAGCTTCCATAATTGTTTTCAGACAAATTTAACAGGAAAATATAAATATATTTAGAAAAATTCAATCCCAGCCCCTCCCCAATAGACAGCCAGTTGTTTGCCAAGGGAGAAAAGAGCACAAGATGGGAAAAGGGAAAAAATATTATCCAATGGAGGGAAGATCCAACTCATCTGACCTGCTCTCCCCCTTGGAACGAATCCTCCCAGTAAATTTCAGCTGCATAATTAAAGGTCTAACTAAAAGAAATGGGATCTTCCCCCTTGAGGAATAGAAAGGATTGCAGGAGAGTGTTTAAGAAGTTAATTTCCCCCAGTCTTTAGGTAGCGGGAAGATATTTGTGTTTCTGCTTCCTCTGGTCTCCCCCTTCCAGCATTTCTGCCCCCCACCCTCAGCAGCTGGTTTCTGTTCATTATAAATCGGCGAGACCTTTCAGTCTCTGCCCTCTGTTTAGGGACGTAATAAAACACTTAACTTTTCCGGGCCTGAGACTTACATTCTGCTCCTCAGGTCGCCCACCCCTGAGCCTACCACCTTTAGGCCCCAAAAGAGAATCTCCCCAACTTTGGGGCTCCTTTCATCTCTGGATATGATTGAGGGAGGGGCTCCAGGAAACTCAGACGTTCTTGTCAGGGGGCTGTAGCACATGCTTCCCTCAAAGCTTCTTCTTTCTCTTAAGGTCCCTCCCTCCCCCACACATCCATAAAAAAAGATTTTAAAATACACAAAAATCCACACTCATGGAAAGCAGAACTTCATTAAGACATCCTATCTTCCATCATTCAATTTGTTTTACATTGCAACAATTTAATATCTTGAAGGAAGTACCACTGACATGATTTATCCCTCTAGCAATCTCATTCTGAAATAGGGGGGAAATTTACTCTTTCTTGCCATGGCTTCTACTTGTTCCACTGCTACCCTCAGGGCAGACAGGAGGCTGGGAACTTTGAAAGAGGCTACTGGTGTCCAGGGGTGCACTGACTTGTTCCCTAGCTCAGCCTCAGAATTACCCTCCCCTCTGTAAGCTCTCCCCCTACCTCTTGCCCTGCAGGGGGACCGGAGCCCCAGCCAGCTGTTGGAAACCTCTGCCCAGGCATGCCATGAATTCAAGTACAGATGGATTGGAAAGCAAAATGCAACACACTATTGTCTGTGTTTGGGGGAGCAACTGCTATGTCACCCCCAAATGAGACAGCTTTTTAAAATCTCTCTCTTAGCCAAAGCCTCCTCCTCTACCTTCTTCATCTTGAAAAGAAAATGGTGTAGTCCAAGGGATAGAAACTTCCACAATTACCAGGATCTTTCTTCTACTCTCCTAGATTCCAGCCAGTTTCCCTCCTTGTCAAAGACAGGGGCAGGATCTTTAAAAGCCAACACAAATTGTCTGGCAGGAAGACTCCTCAACCCCCTGAAGAGGTTCATGTATTAACTAACATTTTGTCTGTAGTAGCTCCTACACACTGTCTGCTTTTGGGTTCTAAACTTTATCCCCCCCCCCCCAGTGACACTCCAGGGAAACCTTAACGTTACAGAAGATGAATAAACGAGGTTTTTTTTTCCCAGCGTAGTCCCGTTTATGGCTTTATTGCTACCCATTGATTACTCTGCTTTGTTACACAGAAGGAAAAGATCATAAAACCCGGCGACATCCGGGTTCTTGTTATAGTCAATCTCAAAAAAAAAAATTAGTGAGGGGAAAATATGAGTTTTCACTGCTTCCTGCTTGTACCCTGCCACCCTCTCTTTGTCAGCTCCAAGTATTTCCAGCCTATGTCCATATCAAATTCAGTTTGGATTAATCAGAGGGAAACCCCAGCTGCACACCTTCTGCGGTTTCAGTTCACTCACTGCAGCTCTCTGAAGCCCCTTCAAAACTGGTCTTTTCTAATCTTCTCCTCCCTTTTCCCAGCCTCAAGGTGGGGGAGAAAATGGAGGTAAGGGCTGCTGAGAATCCGGAGGTGACTGGCTGGGTGACAGCCCAAGAACTCCCCAGGAATCCTGTGCTAGGGTCTTCTAGCCTTAAAGCTCAGGTCCAGGGGCACCACTCCTGGCAGGGCAGTAAATCCAGAGCAGATAGGGTCTTCTGACCTGGGCAGGGGCTTGAACCTGTTGGAAGGTAGCTGTTCATTGGAGTCTCACCAATTTTGTCGTTCAGACTCCTCTTATGTGAATTACCCCACTGGCCTGAGCTGGTTCCAAATCATAAATTCTCACCAACATAAACAGGAGTTGATGTCTTTAGAAGAATCTTAGTCTCTCTCTCTCTCTCTCTCTCTCTCTCTCTCTCTCTCTCTCTCTCTCTCAATGTATTATTATTATACATGCTTTCTTTTAGGTAAAAATGTTGCAAGAGTTTCCCCAAAAGAGAGGTCCTGGGGAGGGGCAGTAGGCTAGGAGGAAAAGGAGAGCAGATGCTTACTCAGGACCTCCACTGTACCGTGGTCTCACCCTCACCCTTCTTTAGATCGACATATCCTATCCTCTAACCCAAGGCTCTCAGCTGCACTGCCTTCCTCTGTGCACCGTGTTCCAGGAAATTTCCCCTTCCTTTTGATTTTTTTTTAATTATTGGAAAAATATGCTGTCTAGTGATGGAGACTCACTTCATGGGTGTCAAGCCAGAATGTCTTGTAGAATTTCTGGGAACTTCCTCCCACTGGGAAGGATCTCCTCAAATGAAGCAACCAGGATGTAATTTTAGAAAAGGGGCAAATACAAAAGATGAAATCGGACTGAAAACACAAGGATTTCTCCCGCCCTGCATTTGGCTACAGCACAACAAAGTTAGCTGGGGCTGAGAGATTTCCTGGGACTAGACCTTTCCTTCCACAGGGTACAAGGCCCCGCTCGTGGACCTGCACCCCACCACCAGCAGCTCCTTACATATATATTCTTAAAAGAAAACCAAGTCTTACTTTCAAAGCACACACTTAGTCTCAACTAGGGAATCAACAGAAGCAGAAGCGATTTTTTTCCCCCTTCTTGACATCTGGCTTGCGATTGGCTGGAAGGGGGTCAGCTGACTTTGTCATTTTGTCTGTCCTGGATTGGAGCCGTCCCTATAACCATCTAGTTCCGAGTACAAACTGGAGACAGAAATAAATATTAAAGAAATCATAGCCCGACCAGGTAAAGGCAAAGGGATGAATTCCTACTTCACTAACCCTTCCTTATCCTGCCACCTCGCCGGGGGCCAGGACGTCCTCCCCAACGTCGCCCTCAATTCCACCGCCTATGATCCAGTGAGGCATTTCTCGACCTATGGAGCAGCCGTAGCTCAGAACCGGATCTACTCGACTCCCTTTTATTCGCCACAGGAGAATGTCGTGTTCAGTTCCAGCCGGGGGCCGTATGACTATGGATCTAATTCCTTTTACCAGGAGAAAGACATGCTCTCAAACTGCAGACAAAACAGCTTAGCTCATAACACACAGACCTCAATCGCTCAGGATTTTAGTTCTGAGCAGGGCAGGACTGCGCCCCAGGACCAGAAAGCCAGTATCCAGATTTACCCCTGGATGCAGCGAATGAATTCGCACAGTGGTGAGTTTTACAGCTCCGAGATATAAATTAAATAAACTGAACTGGCTTTATGACCGGCTTCCCTAGAAGAACGGGCGGAGAGAGTTTTTTATGGCCCCATAAAAACAATCACGCTCGTCTCCTCGCCGACACCGAGACAGGGCCCCCTCTTCAGCCCCCTCGGCTCACCTCCCGCGCTGGCTCGCAGGGGCCTGGCCCCCTCGGTCCCTGACGGATTGGAGGGCTCCAAGAAGAGCTGAGGGGGCAGGAACAGGGCAGGGGGTGAGGGGAGGAGACAGAGGGTGGGGGAGCCCCCCAAAGTCTAGTTAGGCTGGAGAGAAGGGAGGGAGTTAGGAGAGGGCAGAGAAGTGGGGAGAACTTTCCAGGGAACTAGGATTTGGGGAAAGATGGGGAAACCCAGTCCTTGGGAGATGGGGCCCTTATCCCCAGTAGTTGGGATTTTTTTTTTCCAAATCAGCTTTTAGACATTCAGCTTTCTGCCTGTTTTTTTCTTTGCCCCGCCCCCAGCTTTCTTTGGGACACACGTCTCCCACCTCGTGGGAAAGACTGAATGAAGTTGGGGTCCTGGCTGTACCCCAGTGGGGGTGGGGTAAAGCAAAGGGGAGAAGGCTAGAGCCCGGAGGGGCCGAGAGCTGTGGGCCAAGTTGAGAGTGTCTGGACTTTGCTAGGCGAAAATGTCTTCAGAGGACGCCTTGCTGATTATTTTTAGTGTGTTTTGTGCCCGGATCTCTAGGGGTCGGTTACGGAGCGGACCGGAGGCGCGGCCGCCAGATCTACTCTCGGTACCAGACCCTGGAACTGGAGAAGGAATTTCACTTCAACCGCTACCTAACTCGGCGCCGGCGCATCGAGATCGCCAATGCTCTGTGCCTGACCGAGCGACAGATCAAAATCTGGTTCCAGAACCGCCGGATGAAGTGGAAAAAAGAATCTAATCTCACGTCCACGCTTTCGGGGGGCGGCGGAGGGGCAGCCGCTGACAGCCTGGGAGGAAAAGAGGAAAAGCGGGAAGACACAGAAGAGGAGAAGCAGAAAGAGTGACCAGAACTGCCCTTGCACCCCTCTCTCTGCCCTGGCGCATCCCAGCTCCCGAATCACACACTCTGTATTTATCACTGGCACAATTGATGTGTTGTGACTTCCTAAAACAAGATAGGGAGTCAGACGTGGACCTGAAAGTCAGCTCTGGATCCCCCCCCTCACTGCACAACTCTTCCGAGCCTCCTCCTCCTCTAGCTCCCTCGCTAGCTCCTTCTCGGCTTGTCTGCAGGCCCCTTCCCTCGCCCAGGCCTTGGGGACGCGGTCCCCAACCTCGCTTCAGACTCCACTGATGTCCCTCCAAGTGAGCCCTAGGCTCCTTCCCCCCCCCCCGACGCCCTTAACCCCCGCCCCCGTGCAGAAAGCCGGCTCCCCGGACCTGGGGCCTCCACTCCAGGGCCTCAGGGCCGGGCCTGGCAGCCGGAGGGCGGGAGGCCTCAGGAGGGCTCGCCTTGGCCCCACAACACCCCCACCCCCACCCAGGGCTTTTCCCCAGTCCCTGCCCGGCCTTTCTGCCCCAGCAAATGCCCAGTCCGGGCAAATTGTATTTAAAGATTCCTGGGGGTCATTATGGCATATTACGAACTGTGACCGTTTCTGTGTGAATATTTCTAGCTGTATTTGTGGTCTCTGTATTTATATTTATGTTTAGCACCGTCAGTGTTCTGATTTCATTTTAAAAAGGATTAAAAAAAGAGAGAAAATAACAAAAAGAGAAAAAAAGTGAATGACGTTTGTTTAGTCAGTAGGAGAAAATAAAGAAAGAAAGAAATAAACCCCCTCTCGTGTTATCCTCCTGTATAAATCCGACCTCTGGATCCGTTCTCGAATATTTAATAAAACTGATATTATTTTTAAAAGTTTATAATCCGCCTGTCTGTTCATTCCCCCGCCGGCCTGCAACAGAGCTCCCGCCCAGCCTGCCGCCTGCAAAGCCCTCAGCCCTCCGCACTCGCCTGTCCCGCAGCCGGGCGCAAAGCCTCGGTCTCCGGGTTGTCCTGACCGTGCTGGGGTGCTGAGAGGCCTCTGGGACCTCCCCTACGCCGAGCAACACACACCCCGGAAAAGAAAAGGAGGAAAAAGGGCCGCTTGGACTTTCGCTGGGGGCGGGGAAGCCTGAGTGAGGCGGGTTGGGCTGCAAGCCCCACGCGGGCCTTTCTTCCTGCTTGTAGGAGCCTGGAATCCTGGGCTTCTGAGCCTGAGCCCAAAAAGCGAGAAAAGGAGCTTGATCCGATTACCAGGGTCGCCTCCCCCCTACCCCGCGCCCACTGCCAGCAGCGTCGGAAGGAGGACCAGAGAGCAAGCCCCCCGGCCCGCCAGGCCGGCTGTTGCGAAACGTGGCTGAAGCGCCCTGGCAATCCAAGGACGGCGGGATTTGAGTCAGTCCGCAGGGACTGAGCGATCCAAGGACAACTCCAAAGAGAAAGACTGGAAACTGAGCTCTGGCCTGTGCTGGGACTCCTGACCCGCCAGACAAAATTCCTTCTTCATTACAGTCCTAGCCTGTGTCGTTCTTGCCTCTTTTCTCCTCAAATCTAATGTGTGAGGGGTGCAGCAGGACCCTGTTTCTAGGCTCCAGCCTTCTTTCCCCAAGCCTCGCCAGAGAAACCTGAGTGGGCCTAGGGGAGAAGTGGGGGTGGGAGGTCTCCCGGGGGGGGGGGAGCAAAAAAATCCTCCTGAGTTTTCCAGACTCTCCAGGTTCCTGCCGCCCCCCACCCCCCACCTCCAGAGCCTCCGCCAGCCAGGAGGGGGACTTCTGGCAGAAGCAGAGAGATCCTGGGGAAAGGCAGGCAGCAAAGAGTAGGATTTGGAACTAAGAAAGAAGGCGAAGGGACCCAAAGGCTGAACAAACCCTGGCCAAAGACTGTCTAGGTTGCTCAGTCGCCCGGCTTGCCGGCGCCCCCATACCTCTGAAGAGCCCAGAAAATGTTCTATGGGCCTTCTAGATTGAGGTTGCTGAGAAGCCTGGTCTAAGGGCCTACCCCAAAAAGAGTACAAGCAGGCCATTATCTCTGCCTTGCTCATAATATTTGTGGAGGTTTGAATCTTGCCCCTCCATGCCCTGGAGGGTCATTTGTTTGCTATGTGAAATACTGGGCATCAGTACCCCAGGAGGATCACACACAGCTGTAGGAGTGTCCTCCACCCATTGTGTCTGGTCACACACGTGGGAATGTTGCCTCTTGCCCCTCTGGGGCTCCTAACTTAGTGAGGTCAACCCAAATCCACCTGGCCCCTCCAGTCACATCCCAGAGAGCTCCCAGGACTCTCAGCCTCAGGACTTCTCTGCCTGCTTCTGCCTGCTCAGGAACCTTCCTTCCTCTTGGGTAGCCCGCCTACCTCCCAGAGGTTGAGTTCATTTTTCCAAGCTGACAAGACAAGCACCTCTTCAGCAGAGCTGAGTCCAACCCTCCCAAGCAAGAGGCCTTGATCTTGAGTTTAGGTAACCTAAGTACACCCTTTTGGATCTCTAGCCTGGACTTGAGCTACCCCAACCCTCTTTCTCAATCATCTTTGAAGTTTGGAAGGCTCTGGAGGTAGGGAACTGGCAGTATCCATTATAAAAACCACCCGTGTAAATCCTAAATAAAGCCTCATCTTTTCTCAAATTTAAACAGAATTTTAAGGCCAGCTTAAAGGTTAGTTTGTCCAACAAGCAACTTCTCTACCATACAGCCGCCACAAGGCCACGAGATGCTTCAGGATGCATTTCCTCCAAGTAGGCACCAGGTGTCGCTGTGAGCTCGTTGTCCCGACTACCCCCCAATTCCAAGAACCATTTTTTTCTCCCCCTGGCTCCTCTTTCTCTCTCCCTCTCCCTCCCCCCCCCCACCCCGGGTTGGGCTTTGCCAACATATCAAGATGCGTTTCGCCCGCTTCCATCACTAACCTCCCGGAGGTCATCAAGCCAAATTTATGAGTGGCCGCTCCAGTCACGTGACTCTATTTAAGGCTCCCTTATTTGGGAAGAGCGCATAGGATAAAGAAAGAGATATCTCCACCTATAAATTGTGCACTTTGGAGAACAAAAAACCCCTCAACTTCAAAGAGTCACAAATCACCCTTAATCAAAAAGGGTGCAGAAATTTTTTTGGGCCCTCCCCGCCATGAGCTCCTACGTAGCCAATTCATTCTATAAGCAGAGCCCCAATATCCCTGCCTATAACATGCAAACTTGTGGGAACTATGGATCGGCCTCAGAGGTGCAGGCATCCAGGTACTGCTACGGCGGATTGGACTTAAGCATCACTTTCCCACCGCCTGCGCCTTCCAACTCTCTCCACGGGGTAGACATGGCTGCCAACCCCCGGGCTCACCCCGACCGCCCCGCCTGCAGCGCTGCGGCCGCTCCGGGACACGCTCTGAGCAGAGACGAAGCGGCTCCTCTGAACCCCGGGATGTACAGTCAGAAGGCGGCTCGCCCGGCGCTGGAGGAGCGAGCTAAGAGCGGTGGGGAGATCAAAGAGGAGCAGGCGCAGACAGGGCAGCCCGCCGGACTGAGCCAGCCACCGGCCCCGCCACAGATTTACCCGTGGATGACCAAACTGCACATGAGCCACGGTAAACTTTAGGACTTCATTTTGCGCGCTCGGGTCCGCCTGGGTTTTATAGGCCATGCGGGGCAAATAAAGAAAAAAAACCTGCGGCCATAAATTTTACGATCCAGGCATCAATGGCTCGTAAAACTGTCCACTAAAAGGCTTAGAGGCTGTGTGCGCCCAAATTTACGACGACATAATTGGATCATAGGAACAAAACGTGTATAAAAGGCAATATTCAATTTTTGGGGGAGAGGGAGGGAGTTAAAAAAATAGAGGGATCTAAAGGGTGAGGAGCACGGGGCTCCAGAGTGGGGATCCCCCCGCGGGCTCCCTCCCTCCCCTGCGGAGCCTGCTCGGCCGGTGCTCGCGGCTCCGGAGGATTCCAGCGACTCGGGAGGGGCGGGAGGGGGGTCCCCGGTGCTCGGATCTCGAGGGTGCTTATTGTTCGGTCCGAGCCTGGGTCTCCCTCTTCCCCCCATCCCCCCTCAGCCCCTCCGGCCGCAGAGTGAAGGCGGCGGTGGAAAGTTTCCTGCCCAGGCGGAGGCGCTTCTCCCGGGGTCGGGCCTGCCCGCCTGCGGCCCTTCTGGCCTGTCCCGCCGCGCTCACCTCCACTCCCTCCGACCACGGGTGGGGGCCTGGGACTGGGGTGGGACGCTGAGGTGCTGCACGGTATTCACCCCTTCCTGGCTTGGGGGGATTTATGTTCCAGAGACAGATGGCAAGCGGTCCCGAACCAGTTACACGCGCTACCAGACCCTGGAACTCGAGAAAGAATTCCACTTTAACCGCTACCTCACTCGCCGCAGGCGCATAGAAATCGCCAACAACTTGTGTCTCAACGAGAGACAGATCAAGATCTGGTTCCAGAACCGCAGGATGAAGTGGAAGAAAGATTCCAAAATGAAGAGCAAAGAGGCTCTTTAGAGGAAGCGGGGAGCCTGCAGAGAGCACCCCAGTCGGCTTTGGTCCCTGCGCCCTTCCTTTTCGGTTTTCCTCCTTCTAGATTTTGGGGCGAAGGCTGGAGCACTGGCTTCAGGCCTCCCAGACAAAAGCGCATTTCCTTGGCATTCCGAATCCCCATCGACCCAGGGTTCCGCAGGACCGCCTGCACTGCCCATCTCGCCTCAGCTCAGCTGAGCACCCCAGGCCAGGACACACTCTTATAGGGTTTGCCCGCAGGGCTGCGGTGTACTACCGGCCGGTGCTGGATGAGCCTCAACCTGGGCTGCCTCTCCGGCTCCTAGCCAAAGCTAGGCCAGCCTGAGTTAAGGTGAGACAGACCTGCCGCAACCCCTTAGCCCCGACCTCCACCTCACCCTCTCCTTTGTTCCTGCCTAGGCTGGCCAGGCCGCTGAAGGCTGGTGGTGCCAGGCAGAGGGTATGACCAGACTCGGGGTGCTTTCCTAGAGCAACTAACCTTTATAGCTTCTAAACTCGTCTTTACTTATTAATGATTTGCATATGAAAGAGAGGTGAGTGAAAGTGGGCCTGTATCCCTGGAGGTTGTCCTCTGCTCTCCAAACCTTCTAACCCCCTCCCCAAAGCCCGGGAACCTCCCCAGCCTGGCCTGCTGCATGCCCTCTCAGGTTCACAGCCCCAGCCTGCTACCTAGCTCAACTATTGGGGTCTCTTGCCTCTGGACCCCAGAAAGTGGTTCTTGAGGCTCTTTTGCTATCCTATATATCTTGCCATGACTTTCCCACCCTCCTGCCCCACTGCAGTCGCCCAACTATTTATTGACTCCAGATCCTTCCTGAAACTATATTTTGTCATAACAAATAAAGACGAAGAAAGAACAAGACTAAAGACGCAATGGCTTCTGTCTGTTTAGGGCATGCATTAAGTAGACGTGTCTAAATAGGCTCTGAAGTGTATGGGGGGCTGTTTTTAAGCCATCCCTTTAAAAATATTTTTAAACTGCAGCAAGAATAGGGAAATGTAACTGAGTTCCAAGAAGGACCTCTGGGGTGAAGGGGAGGGGTACTTGAGGGCTCCTGTGCTGGTGTTTCCCCATGCTGTGGGTGTCTAAGGCACCCAGTATTCTCACCTTGACTAAAAAGACTTGAGGCTTCTAGACTGTCTGTAGTCTGTACTTAATGCCAGAACATACCAGTGGCTCCGCCGGGTGAGACTCAGGCTCTTCTGGGTCTCAATATCTCTACTGGGTCTGGGTCATCCCTGAGGGGCCTTACGGGACATAGAAGGAAGGCTGAGTCCTCACTCAAGGGACCCCAGAGGGACTCCCAGCAATAGTTGGTGCTGCTTGGTAGAGAGATGGGGGGAAAGGGAGTTGGCCAAGGTTTGAGATGCACTTCAGCTTTCTAAGATATGGACTGGGGTGGGGGCTAGGAGGACAGTGAATGCAGCCTGCTCTGTGCTCAGTCCTGCCTCACCTCTGAGAAAACAAACAAACTGCTCTCTCTTCTAGGTCTAAGCCAATGAAGGACAGTTAACTGGATTAAGAGCTGCATAGACCAGTGTGGGAGTCATGTCTGTTTGCTATCATTTATCACAGTCTCTGAGATTTTGTATGGAGGGGGAGGGGGCACCGCTAATTCAGGTGGGGCTGGCCTAGGCTTATGCTCTGCTCAGCTCTACTCCAGGCTCCTGGGATGGGCTGGAGGAGGAAGTACTTTACAGGAGAAACAAATGTGGGATGGGTCCATAAAACTTTACTGCATTTCCTTTCCAGCCTCCCCAACGGGGTGATTTCCTGGAGCCAAGCCTAGGCCCCCCACACTGGAGGTGTGGGGATCTGAAACTGGACTAGGGACTGCTTATACTAGGACAGAAAGGGAACAGAGTGGCTCTGGGGAGGGTCAGGGAGAGTTCTTTTTATGATTATTAATGCTGATGCTCCTTATATTCTTAAAGGACTGACTTCACTGCATCCCCCTATCTAAGCTATTGTGTCTGTCATTTTTGGATGCAAGAGCCTGTCCTCACTCCACGCTCAGCATGTAGGAGGTCTCAGTGAGTGTTTGTTGAACTGTACCCATTGCCTCCCCTCCCTTCCTTCTGTGCTCAGGAAGGTCAGAGCACACTGCTGGAGTCCCCTTCAACCTGAAGACTGGGCAGCCCAGCCCCAACCAGCTCTCTTCCTCTCCTCTTTCTCTTCCTCTCTCCCTTTCTCTCCCCCCCTACACACACACACACACACAGAGAGAGAGAGAGAGAGAAAGAGAGAGAGAGAGAGAGAGAGAGAGAGAGAGAGAGAGAGAGAGAGAGAGAATGTGTGATTTTCTTCAGGGAGTTATTTTAATTTTTTCTACATGCTGAGTTAAACCATTGGATGAGCACTGAAGCGTGAACTAGTGCGGGCGGCTCAGATGGGTAACAGTTAAGTAAGGAAGAGGCTATGGCGCACACTCACCGGTTCCAGCCTCCCAGGCTTCAGGAGGCCCTGTGCTTCCTCCCCAGGGAAACACATCAGGGCTTGATGAACCAAGGGCTTGATGGGGAGGGAACGGGGTGATATTGATCAGACCTGCCTGACAAAGTTCACCAGCCCTTCTGTGGGTTGTTTGCCTCCTCCAGGCAGGCCCCAACGAACTTCTTATTCCCTGGAGGAGCTAGCTGAAGGACTGACCATCTTAGCTTGCCCAGGCTTGGGGGGACAATCGTGCCTACCAGCTCTCCTTCTTTCTGTCACAGGCCTGAGCCCTTGTCCAGCCACAGCTCCACAGTGCTGGTGGCAGAGGCAACCAAGACGGAAGACACAAAGCCAGAGGCCTCAGACCACTCGTGCACTGGGGTCGGTGAGGCCTAGAAATGTTCTCTCTCTTTGACCAGAAGCTGCTTAGAGTCTACCCCACCAAGCTGCCCCTGAACCAACTTTCTAGTTCCAGGACTTAACATTGCTCTGGGAGATTAAGTGGAGGGGCTCCTTGGTCCCACAAGGTGATATTAGAGCCAGAGCCCATCTGTCTACTTTGCCCTAGAACCCACCCACTCTGGCAGCAGGAAAGAAGGGGAAGAATCATGACTTACCTTCCGGGGGAGTGGGAAGAGGGGACACGGCCCACTCTGAGCAATTAGAGAGGAGAACAAAATAGGAAGAAAAATGTCAACACGACCTCGAAGGCATCAGGTCCTTCTAGAAATAAGTAAGTAAATAAATAAATAAGGATCCACCTTCTCCCCCCTCCCCACCCTGCAAGGGGGTGCAGGGAGGGGCAAGGAGCAGCTCTAGGGCTTTTTAGTGTAACTGAGCATTAGAGAAATAGGAAAGGCTTCTATGTGAATTTAGGAGTTTGAAACTTTTGGAGGTTATTTATGTGAATGGCCTGAAGGCAAGCCCGTGAGTGGCTCTTGGGGGACCACGTGATGTCATTAAACCAAGTTTTATGGTGTAGGGAGAGCTGACAAACCCACAATATATTTACATCATATATAATCTTAACTGTCCAGCCACGCAGCTGCTGGTGAGGTTTAATGCTAGGACAGAGGGCCTGGCAGTTAGAGGGGATTACGGCGCTGGGGATGATGGTGAGAGAGGTTACATCTTCGCAAATGAATCCCAGGCGATCGCTGTAAGTTAATTCTCTCCCCCCTTTCTCTCTTTCAGGCCCTTTCTCTCATTTACCTAACTCCCTCCCCGATTTGAAAGAAGAGGATTCTCACTCATTAAGGGGAAAAAGAAAAAGGCCTCCCTAGACTTCCTCAGGCCCGGGTGGGAGACTGGGAAGGGGAGCTGGGGGACATAGGAAGATGGAAGACCTTGCCTCCCTAGATCAGGCCTCCCTCTGCAGCCTCCGTTTCTGCCTGTCTGCTAGTCAGCTGGGTTAGAAAGAGGCCTTGCCTCTTCAGAGTTTTGCAAGGTCTTCCTGATCCTCTGTGGGTTGGGAAGAAAGCCAAGCCAGAGCCAGAAACTCGGTTTCTGGTTGCAGAGGCTCTACAAACCCTAAACACGAGGGCAAAGTGCCTCTGGGGTCCCCTGTTCCACGGAGAGGCCAGTTCATCTCTTGGTCAGTAGCCAAGAGTACATGCAGGGTAAGAAGCTGGGGAGGAAGACAGGGAAGGAGAGCTGCATTGCTTCTGAACTCACAGACTGCTGCTTGGACTGATCTCAAAGTCTTACTAGTAGGCCTGGGTGGGCAGCTACCCCAGACTCTGAAGTCCAGGGCCTGAGTGTGTCTTGGACCCTTAAGGCTCATATCTTCCCCCAATCCTAGCTACTGGGTCCCTTCCAGCACCTTCAGCCTTGCCCAGATAAAGCTAGGCCCTGGAGACCTAGAGGTCTCTGCTTAGTGTGCAACCAATGTGTGTTGGATGTGGTTAAGCATGGAGGGAACATATTTGCTAGGCTCTGGAAAGCCCCCTACCTAGGGGCGGGGAGAGAAGAGAATATGGCTCCCTAGGGATGGAACTAGCAGGACCCCAATTGTGCAAGGTATCTGTGGCTCCCTTCAAGTTTATTTCAAGAAGAATCAAAGAAAGCAAAAGCAGGAGGCATGTGTCCACCACACCTGTGAGGTGCACCTCCCTGGGTGTTACAGGAGTTAATCCAGAAGTAACTTGTGAACTCGGGGTACTTGCTGCACTGGCTGGTTTCAGGAACTGGGGGAGGGGGGAGTGGAGGAGGCCACCTTCCAGAAAGAGAGGACTGCAGTGAAAGAGAGGGATCTGTGCACCTGCTTTGCAGAGTGATGCAATTGTGGGAAGGAGATGGCATGCTGTTAGCACAGTCCAGGGTGCCCTGCTACAAGCAGCACAGCAAGGATGGAGTAGAGATCAACAACTGGGCAGATTTGGGCAGGGCGGAGGTCCAAAGGCAGGAGAAGGCTAAGCCAAGCCCCAACTTCGTTACATCCCGCCGCTGCCTGTGCTTAAACTCTCAAGCACTAAAAGCTAGGGGCCCCAACACTCTCTCAGGACCGGGTCTTGCCTCCACCCCCTTACCCCGACCTTAGACTGTCCTCCAGGAGAGCTTTCAGAAAGTTTCCTCCTTAGACTCTTTGCCGGCTCTCTCTTCCACGCTCTGCTCCCCCACCATCAATCTGTGATTTTGAGGGTTTCTGGAAACGTTCTGACCCAAGCATCAGGAAGATGGGCGTTTCTCTCGATCTCTTACGGGACTGTTTCCCTCTCGGGTCTCCCCCAGGATCTTAGTGGAATCCAAGGATCTTTAACCAAGAATTTAGTCTGAGCCAAAGCCGCACTCTCTGGTAACATTCCAGCGCCCTCCCTGCCCCACCAATCTCAGTCCTTTCTCTTTTTCTCTGAGTAGAGGGCGAGGGAGAGGTATGGATTTACACAGCATCTCTTGGGGGCATTCGATACTTTCTACCCCCCTTTTGATTTCCAGGTTCAAAAGTTCCATTTCAATATCTTTCCTTCTTTCTTTAACAATAGCCCCTCTCTCCTTTCCCATGCCTAGGTCGATATACGTGTGTGTGTGTGTGTGTGTGTGTGTGTGTGTGTGTGTGTGTGTGTGTGTTTAATGTTTTTCTGGTCTCACCTGGAAACGAGCAAACACAAAAGGGAACCGAGAGTCTTGGGTTTTCCACCCTCTTTTGTAGATGAATTTGAGATGGGGGATGGGTAAACAATCGGATACCAAAGATGCCCTAGCCTACCCAGAAAGCTTTTAATTTTGTTCCTAGGTCTTTAACCCCAGAAGAAGCAAAACAACCAATCAGGAAAGTGTTTCAGCGGAGTCACATGCCCCCACCAACCAATCAGCAAAAAAGTGCTTGGATCGGTGTCTGGATCTGGCCCCCTCCATTCTTCCCTTCTTCCCCCTGAACACTGACTTAAGGACCGGAGTCGGCCCTAATTCAGTCGGGTGAGCGGAAGAGTGGAGG